ATGCACTTAATTTTCACTGTTACACCCACTATAGTTCACAACAATTCACTCACTTTCTATCGCGCTTAGACTTAATTGTCCGTCCCCGCCAACTATAGTTCCGATCACTGTGTCTGCTATCCTCAGTTCCCGCCGACCGTAATCGCTGTCTTTCTTTCTCTCTCTGCCTGCTTCGTCTCCGCTCCATCTCTGCCTCCCCGTCTGTCTCTCTCACTGTCTAGCGCAATTATATACGATAATACTGCCTGTTCTAGAAACTTCTAAGACTCTCAACACGTGCTACCAGTGTCACTTGACTTCCGCTGTCGTAACACACTGGCGAATCTTCTAGAATACTCGTCACGTGCCCCCCACTGTCGTAACACTATGCTGAATTGTACTTTAATTTACATTTTATGTCAAACACTACATGGTAAAAGATGGCTAAAACAGTAAAACTTTCATAATTTCAAGATTTTCAAATAATGCCAAGTTGTATCTAGCATATAATCTAAAAACAAATGCTTCTCAGACTCAGAGAATCTCAAACACTGGGTCATGGCACCTGCCTTAAAGATTTGTGCCCTAACCACCTGGCGATGCCGGGCCTAAACGTGATGAACATTGATTTGGAAGTAGTTTGCCAAATGTTTATTAATAGGTACAAACACAGGCTATTTCCTGGGTGTTTTTTGTATATATATTGGGTAATGTAAATAAGATTCATAAAAACACTGTATCAAAATCTATGAAAGGTCTCTATAATAATTAATTTGATTTTCTTTCATCATTAATGGAATGATATATGTCTTAATTCTTGTGATTTTGGGCTCAAATATGTTATAATGCACAAATGATTTTTTTGTTTAATAAATCATGTGGTTGAAATATATGTAAAATGCATTGATATTTTTGTTTTATTAATAACAGAAAGATCACTATTTTTGTGAGAAAACTAAATAAAAATGGTGACCAATAGTTTAACTGTCTTATGACAGCAATTACAAGTTAACACATTTCTGATCCCCCCTTTAAGAAAATCCTGGATCCACCCCTTTATGTCTGCATTAGCCACCCCAAATTTTGGCCTGACAGACTAATAGGAAGGAAGCTAGTCATCACCACCCACCACAAACTTTTTCAGATCAAATTGTGAGATTCGACCCTCACTCTTATATTGCCCATGGCCCTAAGTGACTCATGAAATCTTAGATCCACAAGTCAGGTATGTTAACTACTGAGTTCAGTTCAGTCCATAATAAAATATAACTTCTAGAAAATTAATCAAATATATCCTACCTTTGTACAGATCAAATAATCACAGTGAAAATAAGTTGCAAGAAGTGTTTTAACAAACTTGTTCAAAGGAATTTCATATTGACAAACAGTACAGAACTATCACAAATGTTTTTTAACAACACATCATCTCTCGTTATAATGTAATGTCACAAAAAGGAAATCCTAAGTCACTTTTAAGATCTTTTTATTTAACAAAATCAATTTTGAGAAAAACTAAATAAATCAAATCAGTCTTCACCGTGACACATTTTATAATTACAAATATTTTTAATTTACACTAATACAAAAGTTCTTAAGAGGTTAAAATGTATAAAAACTTGATCATTATATCTAATTGTATATACAATGACGATAATCAGAATAAAACAGCCTGAATAATCTTAAAACAACATACTGTTATTGCAATAGTAAAAATATTTAATACACAACTGTCCCGTTACTCTATGTTTCTATAACAGTAATTCTTTTTCAGGAAGAAGCTATTATAATGTTAATCAGAATTAGTACAGTTTTGCTCACAACTTGCACCACAAACTTTCACAAAAGGTATTTTTAGTAATTCAAAGGAACATTTTAAACATTTTTATATCCTTTAATTATTAATCTTTTTATTTCCTGCAGAAAAACTTTTGTACAATTAGAAGAGGTTTAATACAACTAAAACTCGCAGACCTTTTAAAAGTAATGTAATGATAAGAAAATATAGCACATCTATATTTCTGAATTCATAGTTCCAAAGCTGCTTGATTCATATATTTCATAATTAGGAACAACCATACACATAATAAAGCTTTCATTTTTATATAAAAGTTTCATATTATACTTTTCTAAGTTAAAAGTTTGGTGTTTCATAATTATCAATAAGTTGGTAATTATGTAAGCATTCTTCCCTATTTAAATGTTTCTAAAAAAACAAACCAAATAATATATTCCTAACCACACTTATTACAAATTTAAAAGGTTAAAAACAATATAGTAGAAAGTGTTTGTAACTTATGCTTATTATTTTGGAAGCTGGAGATCTAACGAGATAAAAGTGCAAAAGAGTTTTTGCTTGGAATTAAAAAACACTACTTCTCTTGATTGCATCATAGGAAAGTGGAGACTGAGCTGTTTCTTGGTTCAACTGGTTCCTTCACTTGCTGTTTAAGGATTGTAAAGCATTAAACTTGTTCTCTGAATTAATCAGTTGTTGAGGATTAGGAATTTTAATGTTTGTATATGAAGTAGATGAGGAATAGAGTAGATGAAGAAGATGAGGTACGATCTACAGCATTTTATCTACTATATTTAGGAGCTGAGTCTTGACTTTACTTTTTGTACTTCTTTATCAGAAACTAGAGTCCCTCAGACTTACAATGCTACAATATAGGGTTTAATTCCCAGTGATGGACATATGAGATAGCCAATGTGGCCATGCTCTTAAAAAAATAAAATAGAAAGAAACCAAAGTAACATTTAGTACATAAGGAAGGTATAACTTATTAATAATCAACACCTTTTGTCATGTTCTGTCTACCATACTTAAAGTCTTGACTTAAACTTTTGATAAGAATGATATGTGAAGTAGTAGTGGAAAGTCGGATTTATTAATAACAGACACTTTCTGTTGGGGTCCTATCTTCTACATTTAAAAACCTTGATTTTATTTCTTTATAAATATAGTATCTGAAGTAAATGAGGAAGATAAAAATTATTAATAAGGAGAAACGTCTGATGGTGATTTAAACTTACTCGATGAATCTCTTTGAGATCTTCCTTTACCATCTTAAAATATATTTGAAGTCAGTTTTATTTAATGACGAAAACTTAACATCAGGATATCTGTAAATTCATAAGGTTACAATTGAACAATATTCTGGTTATCAATAACAACCTATCCTTCATTCATGTTTCTCATTCTTGTAGTTTTTCTGTCAGAACAAATATAAAGATCTTTTAAGAAGGAAAAGGATGACAGAATTTGCAGAATTTGTTCACTCAGACCATTGTTAATTGATTTTTTTTTCTTGTATGAGAAACTACCCATTCTTTAGGGTTTTTTTAGTTCAGAAACTCAAAGGTTCATCATTCCTAAACTTTATCCAAGACTCAGGGTTATGTTTGTGGTCATCTGTTATACAACTCTACTTGAGATTTGGGTCAGATACTTGTAAAAATTTTTACACTTGGTTGACTATTCTAATTGTCCCATACTGTTTATATTCCTGACATTCACCACATCTTAAGGAGTCTTATTCCAAAGCCAACCACCCCTTTTAGAAAAATATAGCTGTTTTAGCATTCACACTATTAAATATGAAAAAGGATGATGCATGAACACTATCATTTTCCTTAACAATCTTAAACACTTCAGTCACACCTCTTCACTCTTCTTTTTTTTTTCAAGAGAAACATGTTCATAGATTTTAACCTATCATCAAATGATAAAATCTCCTTCCCAGATATCCTAGTAACCCTTTTCTGGACCCTTTCAATAATTCAATGTCCTTTATTAGGAATCAAAAATACATCAAAGAAAACACTCCAGGATGAGCTCTTGGATTAAACAGTTAATTTAAAAGACATCAAGGAGGACAAAGTGGCGAGAAATGTAATGATTTGATGATGAGGGATCTACTTTTTTAGACCGTACAGTTTGTAGATGGCCTGAATTGGTAGTGAGAGGAATTTTACTATAAACGTACAACTTTTCAACAATTAACTTTTGCCATCTTCAAGTAGAAGTAGTTTACATAGACAGGTAGTTTAAGAGAAAGCTTGATTATTATTTTGTTCACAAGGGTTGGCTCTGTGTTTTTCTTTTGAAGGTTAAGTTTAATTTAGTGAACAGGACCAGATGTACAAAAAGGTATCTTTTTATCATTTAATGTTATGTGATATGTTACTACACAATATGATAGATGTGCTGTATCAAAACTCAATTTTTATTACTCTAAACCCTCAGATTTAAATGCTGAGGTAAGGAGCCAACATTAATGTAACCTTTCTCCCTGATGTATTTTTAACTTATAGTTCCTTACAAATCGTTTTCCACAAACTTCATAACTAAGGTTTCTCCCCAGTATGTATTTTATGATGTTTTATTAAGGTGCAACTTCTTACAAAGCGTTTTCTACAAACTGTACAACTGTAATGTTTCTCCCCGGTGTGTTTTCTGTGATGCCGTTTTAATTCACTCTTTGATCCAAAGTGTTTTCCACAAATTCCACAACTGTAAGGCTTTTCTCCAGTATGTATTCTTTGATGTGATTTTAAGTAATTCTTTCTCCCAAAGTGTTTTCCACACAAGGAACAACTGTAAGGTTTCTCCCCAGTGTGTATTCTTTGATGTTCTTTTAAGGTACAACTTCTTACAAAGTGTTTTCCACACACTGTACAACTGTAAGGTCTCTCACCAGTGTGTGTTCTTTGATGTACTTTTAATTCAAAGTTTGTTCCAAAATCATTTCCACAAACTGCACAAATATAAGTTTTCTCTCCAGTGTGTGTTCTTAAATGTTGTTCTAATTCACCATTTGACACAAATTGTTTTCCACAAACTGCACAACTGTAAGGTTTCTCTCCAGTGTGTATTCTTTGGTGTAATTTTAGATTACTCCTTGATACAAACTGTTTTCTACAAACTGCACAACTGTAAGGTTTCTCTCCAGTGTGTATTAATTGATGTGATTTTAAGTAATTCTTTCTACTAAAGTGTTTTCCACACACTGAACAACTGTAAGGTTTCTCACCAGTGTGTGTTCTTTGATGTATTTTTAAAGTGTCTTTTGTTTTATACTGTTTTTCACAAACTAAACAACTGTGTTGTTTCAGCCCAATGTGTATTCTTTGATGTGATTTTAAGTTATTCCTTGCACCAAAGTGTTTTCCACACACTGAACAACTGTAAGGTTTCTCACCAGTATGTGTTCTTTGATGTATTTTTAAGTTACCACTTGTTCCAAATGATTTGTAACAAACTGTACAACTGTAAGGTTTCTCCCCAGTGTGTGTTCTTTGGTGTGATTTTAAGTTATTTTTTCTAACAAAGTGTTTTCCACACAATGAACAACTGTATTGTTGCTCCCCACTATGTACTTTTTCATGGCTTTTTAAGTTACCTTTTGTTCGAAACTGTTTTTCACAAACTATACAACTGTATGGTTTCTCCCCAGTGTGTATTCTTCGATGTATTTTTAAGTTACTGCTTGATACAAATGGTTTTCCACAAACTACACAAATGTAAGGATTCTCCCCAGTGTGATTTCTTGGACATTGTTTTAAGGGACTATTTCTTTCAAAGTGTTTACCATAAACTACACAATGATGTGGTTTCTCTACAGATTGCATCCTCTTTTCTTGTGTTAGGTTATCCAATGTTCCAAATTCTTTTCCACTGACTACACAACTGTATGTTTTACCATTACATTGAGGTATATTAAATTTGTTTGGACTATTTCCATTTATACCACATATACCATTGTTTGATTTTAAAACTTCTGTATAGTGATCTTCTTGTTTTATACCATGATAAGCAGGACACTGACTCTCACAACAGATGCTCATACTGGTCTTTGTATCTAAAATAGATATAAATGATGCCTCATGATAGTTGATATTATATTTGATGAACTTCTAAATATATTTATTGTTCTAATATGTTTATTACAAACACCATTATTTAAATATTAAAGCTAAAAACAAACTTTGGTGCAGTTTTCACAGTTTCACACTTTACAAACTTTTCTACCTGAATTAGAATAACATTGATGACAAACTGTAGGTAACATTCCACTTTCAAGAGAGGTTTTTAGTAGATAAAATAAAATCACCTGTAGAAATATGATAGTACAGTGTCACAACAACCAATGTACTTTCGGCTAGTATCTTTATGGATTAACTTTTAGAAATATTTTATTTAAAATGGTTTATTATCATCAAATCTAATGATTTGTTTATTTTAACATTAATAGTTTATACATTTTGTTCAAATGTTCTATATGCAAGTTATAAATAAATATTTATCAATATATTATTTATTCTTTTAACAAGTTTAGATATCATCCCTCTGATTAAAATTTGTTTGATTATTGTCTTCATCATGCAAGAATTAATAGATTGGATATTTTAGAAGTGGTGTTCAGTAAATGACATCTATCAAAATGAATGATAACAATACATTCTCTGTACATGTTGAAATTAATCTACCAAAATGGGTTCTAACCCTTAATCAGAAAATTTACATATGAAGAACCAGGAGGATAAACATTGGTGAGTTAGAAATTTTCTTTCTGTTTCAATTTATAGAACTAATTACGGTTTCCATATTCATTTTCAAGCAAGGTACATCTTACAGTTTTTTCAAATGCCTTCTCATTTTATCACTTCAAACTTTTTCACACAAAAACCTATGAGTAAAAGTAAAATAGATATATCAAAATTAGATCTATAGACTTCAAATTCATCCTGTCTCATATGGTTCAATAGCTTTTAAAATATACCAATAATTTAACCAATTCTTTTAATCCAGTGTCAATGCACTTAAGAGTTTTAGATGTTTGTACTTACCAGATGTACTTTCTAAAACAGATTCAATTTCTTCATGAAATTCAGTTTTTGTTTTCACATCCATATCATTACAGTTCAAACTATCCAGATCATCATCATTGCTGTCACTGAACTTTGAAATAACATTTCCTCCTAACAGATCACCAGGATGCTCTGTTTTCTCTTTGACAAATATGTTCTAAAATCAAAAAACATATTCAAAAAGTTAATAAAAATAACAACTAGTATTATCATTACACATAGACTCCACAGTTCACTAGTTTAAAACATGATAATATAATTAATAAAACTAATTCTTCAAACTTAGTTATGTATGTAAAAAGTACTAAAACTACTTAAATACTTAGGACATTTTTGTGTCTTGTTCTGTAAGCAAACAAAATGAGAAAAAAATTAGAGAAAAGCAGTTTCATTTCTTTTATACGTAGTTCCATATTTTGGATTAATATACAAGACATTAAAACAAGAAATAATTTAATAAGAAACACCCAATAATAATTTTCTTATTTAAACAAACTGAAAGTAAAAAGCTTTATATGAATATCCTACTGAAATGAAGTTCGTTGGTATGGTCATTTGGAGCTTTATGGATCAAAGCTATCTATAGAAAACACTGAGTACTAAAGAGTGAGAAAAAAACATAGCAAAGAAAATACATACCAAAATGGTCTTCATTTTGTTTTTATCAAACCATGCTAAAAAATAATGTAAAGCTAAAAAGAACCATAACCCATAAAAAAAAACAGAAACACTGTTAATCTGAACAGTTTCTCAAATGATGCTGTCCCTTGTATTCATATTGTTGGCATGAAAGTACAATGTGAGCAATTGTAATCTGAGTATCATAAAGGCCACATACTGGCAGATCAGTTCCTTGAAGAACAAAAAATTGATGATTATAGAAACTAGTTAAATTAGCCTTGTCAAAATAGCTTCCTTTCTCTGGGTCCTACGGAAACTAAATGGACAAATAACAGAAGGAATAACTGGGAAAAGCTTGTTGTGATGTTTCTCATCCCAAATTAACTGCCAGATGGTGTGAAGTGTTGTAACAATGACATAACAAGTCAACATAACAGACAGGCAAGAGTAGATGAATTTATTGTGATGTCAGCAAGCTCGTTCATATAATTACCAACATGGTCAAGAATCCAGAAAAAATGAACAGTGCCACTATAGTAAATAGTTGATTATATCATAGAGATCTTTGGCTCAAAAAGGGAGATAGTGGTCTTTTCACCACTGATTTGATGTCTAAGAAGGCAGGGGAACAGGTACATGTGCTAGAATGGTGAGAGAGAAAAGGTTTAGCAATACTCTGTAAATCAGCAACCTCTTGGCCATTGGAAAGCAAGATCAAAAATTGGTGGAAGGTAAAATTCCTATATATAATTCAAATTTTGCCCCAAACAACTATGGAACTAACAATGGAAATAATAACAGAAGTGAACTTAATCCAAAATTTCTTCTGGGTTTGATGTCTGAACTGCCAGGCATGGCCACAAGCTTGCTGAAAGGAAAAGTGGTTGGGAAGAGCAGTATATTTGTAGAAGACATCCTAGACCTGTTTTTGGGGTCTTTTGTGCTTGTTGGTAGTCGGTATACCGTCATGGATAAGGATACCATGACAAACATGTCCAGGTTTTAGGGATCAAACTAATAACTGCCTGGACAATGCAATCAGTCACTGCCCCAACACAGTTGTTAATAAATGAAAGCAAAAGATTAACGACAACCGAATCAAGCTTCAAGAGAGGGAGAACCTGGCAGTATGCTCCAGCTTCCATTGTGGAGAAAAATAAGTGGAACAAATGGAGAGAGCAATGGCAGTAAAAGACAGATTGGGGCATCAAAACAAGTACAGAACCAATACTGAAGAGATGGAGGTTGTGATGCGAAAGTATACACTCCACAGATTGACCCCTTTCAGCAATATCTGCATCACTTTAGAGTAGAATTATTCCAGAATTAAGAAGGGAGATGGCAAGGTCTTTCTGTTCAAAATCCTGACTTGGCAATAGGTGAAGAGAACAATGGAGACACAAATAGCAATAGCCTTAACTGAGGTGCTGAGTAGCAATGTCATGATTGGTACAACCTGTCTTTCCTGTACAAGGAAAACTGTTGAATGGTGACAGTATTGGCAGGTTTCCGGAACATGTCCTATAAAAAGATACACACGGGATGTTAAGAACTGATCAATGTCTTAATGTAACCTAAATTACAACTGAAATATCAACAGTTCCACTGTATCAAAGTGGGATCAGACGAATGAAATCTAATTACCTCCATGGATCCATTAATGTTTTTCTAATTTTGATTTAAAGTACTTGGGATATCCATAAAAAAACAAAACCATTTAGTATCCACTGTTCCATGCACCATGGAGTTCTATAAAGGAATGTGCCACACTATCAACATTTATAATCCTCTCTTCTCCTTCACAGATCATCTCCTACGCCAAACATGGGTAGATATTTGGATCTCACAGACAGTAATGATGAACAGTAGAATGATGGCAGCAACAACTAACATCTGACACGTGTATGTACAGTCACAAACATTTAATTCTTGGACATTTCAGAATATATATATTCCATATTCAGGAAGCTATATTGAATAGGGTAAATTATTAGGTACAAAAAATTATAAAGCTTAACATTTTATAAAAACTAATTAAAATACAGAATTAAATGATGAAGTAAATTAAAATAAAAACAAATAAACAAGAAAGAATAGAATAATGCAACAATTGTAACAAAATTATACAAGTAATCAGAACAGACTTAAATGTAGTGAAGCTGTGTTATTATTTAAAGTTAGGAGCTCATTTAAAATATATAAATTTTCTTTAATTAAAAGTTCAATATTGGATGATCCAGATGAGATGACTTTGAAATTTATAATCAAGATGGGGTGGTTGTTGTTTTCTGGTGGATTTGATAGTTTTTTTTACCAGTCCTACTTGATACTCCCTTATGTTTGGAGGTGTAATTGGTATGTTTATTTATATATGATCCTGGAATGCATAGGGGTTGGTAATAAGTCTTTAGATCTGAATAGATTTTGTATTCTGAAAGATGACTTATATATATATACCATTTGTAGTTGAACATGTGGGTAAAGCATTCTGATTATTCATAATATTTGTGACTTCACTATGAAATTTTGCTTACCTAAAAAAAAAACGGTCAGTCTTAATGCGTATTTGTCAACAGTGTATGGTTTCATTGGGGGTTAAAATGTGTAAGAAAGGAACTTGTGTGTTAGGTTTTGAATAAAATAAAAGGGATTGCTGTTGTTTATTATAATGTTCTGTATGGTGGTGATTTCAGTATGAAGGGAGAGATAGTTAGATGTTATATGGTCTATTGAGAAGACTGAGTATAAAGTTACATTTAAAGGAATTTGGAATAAAATTGTGGAAGGTTTCTGCATGCTTATTTGCAATAGAACCATATTAAATGTGAGGTAGTGGGAGTTTCGAGGCTTGTGGCAAATGAAAAAAATTAAATATAGAGGGCAGCACTGAACAAGAGAAACTGTTATGTGAGTAGAGGTAAGATACTGTGTTGGAAATTATGTTTTTCACAAAATGTTCGAAGGGTAATCTTCAGAAGAGATCTATCATATGACATGAAGGAAAATTTAACCCTTTCACTATGAGTGAGCCAAAGTGCTCATGTCATTATTTTGTACGAGATTTACATTCAAAGTTTAATTAAAGAACTTTAGTATTATTGTATATGAATAAGCTTGGCTTCAAAATGTAGTTAACAAATCAACTTCTAATATAAGTATTAAGTTATTAATTTTAAAAGAAAATATTAAAAATAAATCCTCAATCACCTCTAGTATAAGAATTAGGATATTTGCTCTATAGGTCTTCCTCTTATCCAATCTATTTACCTTCCCTCCGAGAAGTATGGAATTTAATGTAAATTACTCATTGTAATATAAATATTACTCAGGCAAAGCAAAATTTTTACAACCTTCAATCTTATTTGTTTATGGAGCCAAGAAGTAGAAAATCAAACCTACTTGCCACACCCACCTGTCAAATCTACTCTTTCAAAAATTGAAAGTAGTTCTCTATAATGTTTTATACTGTATTGTCTAAAACTATTAAAAAAAAAGACAGTTTTAATCTACTAAATGACATATTATATTACACTTTTTTCTATACTCAGATTTATCTATTTCATCTTCAGATCCAAATATTTTCTAATAGGAATCACATGGACAAACTAAACTAAATTTTTAAAAGCTCTAATTGCACACTTAGAAAGCCAGAATTTAGTGTAGTAGTACCATTAGTATCAAAAAGAGGCTTAAATTTCATTGAAAGTTGACAGAAAAAAAAAAGCACACATGTAAGTACCATGTTTTTTGTTTTTCATGTATATTCTCTATTTATTATTATACAATTAACTAAAATTACATTATTCAAGGTGGTAACTTGATATGTATGTTCATCAAGTAACTTATAACTTGTATGATGGGATTATTCATTAAACACAGTTCAAAAGGCTACAGAACAATAAAGATATGTATAACCAGATTACACCATTTACACCCTTTAGGATAAACAACTGTAGTTTCCAGTTAAAATATGCAGTTATTCTAGAAAGAAAAAAACGTAACTTAGGTATATTTTGTAATTTCTTTTATGGTGGTGACAAGGTCAGTCAAATTGATTGAGCCCATATACAGTTATGGTAGAGAAAATAACATATGTAATGTTTTACTGAAATTACAATGTTGATATTTATTTAGGAAATTTTAAAGATTATGCAAATGAATTTTGAAAATCTTCAGATAAAAAAAAATATTTTTAATCTTACCATAAAAATCACTTTACACTCTGACTCCATATTATCAATAAATATTTAAGGAAAAAATTTTATTAATTTTTTTTCTCATGAAAGCTCACGTAATATTCACTGAAAGCTTGTAGAATTTTGTGAAAATAAATAAAACACTACAAGTTATAGTACAGAAACTATGATGATCAATGTGGGATCGCAAAGTCAGTGGAATGAAAACAGGAAAAGTAATGTCATGGTAGAATAATGCAGTGGTTGAAAAAATTATGAAATAAATGCAACCACTTAATGATCCCAGTGATCAAAATGATTAGAAAACACCACAAATCAACCAACTATAACCATCCAGACAGACCTGCCAAAAGTTGAACCCTAGATATGATAAGTAAAGTGTGTCATCTTGTAACAAAAGACAATGCATAAACACAAAGGTAAGTGGCAAGTTTCCCAGGCAACAGTACAAAATATAATCAAGAAAGATCTCTGCTAGAACAGTGTCAAAGCTCACACATACACAAGCAGTTTTCCTGACATATCTGTTCAACTGTCGCATACTTCACGAGGCAGAAGAATGAACTGGGTAATCTCACCATTCCATTTCAGGCAATTGGTCAAAACACCAGATATAGTAGCTATGGAATTCTGTGCAATTGAACTGTTAAAAAGTACTGGTAAATCATCATTTTGGTACACTAGATGGATTATGAAATGCAAGATAGAACATTACAAGCCATACAATGGAGCCTTTTATAGTAGGAACTCTGCTGGAGGGCTATAGTAAAGAAGCAAAGTTATCAGACATAGCATCAACAGCCATGAATTGAAATGATGTGGTGGGGGCTCCAGGTTAGGTTTAATATAGCATACTAAACCACTGTAAATATTATGGCTGATTCAACATAGAACAAGAGAAGTTTATAACCAGATGAAGATTATAAAATTGTACATTATTTTTTATACAGCTGACAAGGTTTGCATAAGTAATTAGTAGAAGGTTTTACAGTAAGTTCTATGGAAGCATTAACAATGAAACACCTGTGGACTAGCAATTTTAATCCTGCAAGAAGAGCTGTAAAGAGTTTATTCATAGCAATGCAGCAAACTTGTAGTGAATTTCTTCAGCTTGTGAGTACAAACATGTTATTACCAATTAGTCTCAACCAAAAGTCCAGAAAGACAGAATTACAGTTACATAGTATCTTTAATGACACAACTGTAAAAGTTTTAATCTACAAAGTACCTCAGTTTTCACTGTTGCTCCATCATAGATATCTTCTTTCTCCTCTTTTATCATACCAAACTTCAAAATGGTATTTAGAGATGTTTCTTCCATGTAATCAGGTCTTCCTGTAGCTAAAAATACAAACAAAGTAGATTCTCTATAACAAGACTCAATATAATTTATTTTTACTAAATCATAATCAAAATCCATACAGTGTATTTTGCTGAAGATGTATCAACTTTCAGCATAGGTTGGGTTCTCAAAATATACCTGGACTGACATGCGCATTGTTAGTTGTAGTCCCAAATGGTAGCCAGGGTCAAAGACCAAAGTATTTTCCTATACCCGGTAGCAGAAAGTTCTCAATGGAAAATAGTAAATATGTAAAGAATACATGTACTTCCAAAGTTGAGATACACATTGTATAAAACTAAGTATAGCAAATTCATGTAAGCAGCTACATCAGAAGGTACACATGAAGCAAAAAAAAACAAATAGTTTACAGAAAACAAGGTCATATCAATGGGAACATTGAGTATAAAACTAAAAGAAAGCGAAAATTAAGCACTATGACAACCATGGATAGATGTCATGCCTGTAATGTTTCAAAATGTTATGCTGAGGTGGGAAACCAACCAACATCCTTTCTCAACCTCCAGAAGGCATCATTCTCCAAATGAATTACCAGCACAGAGGGTGGAATAACATCTACAACAATTATAGAAGTAAATGTTTACTTCATAGGTGGATGAAACACAGTCTCATGCTACAAGAGATCATGCAGATTTTGTTTTTGAAGCAATGTGACCTTAATTGTCATTGATTTGACCTGGCTTGAAGAAAGTAATATAAAAATCTGTGTTCTGACAATTGTTGAACTTAATCTTCATATTAATATTTTCATTACATAATACTGAATTATTTTGATATCAGCACTGTAAACACTGATAACTAACAAAGTACATTCTGAAGAGGGTCATCAGTTTTAAGAAAATTATGCCAACTCACAAAAATAAGTGAATTTGTTGTGAAAGTATTTGTCTTGCCCCCTTAACATTCCAAAATTGTTGTAAGAAGTAATCTTTGCTGTAATGCAAGTGATTTAGACAGAGTTGGTGAGATATAATGTGGGACAGTGGAAAGTTCTAAGTACTACAGTGGAACATCTCTGATTCTTATCTATAGAGGCAATTCATGTAACCACTCTTATTTTTATAACTTTTACTATAGAACTTTCTGTGTACTAGAAATTTTATTAAGCTACCCTCAACTAATAATTCTTGGAGATGGTTTGAATGGGTAATGAAGAAAAACTTTAATATTAAGTTTAACATAACAGCAAATGTACAACGTTTCGACAAGGTTTTGTCATCATCAGGTACCCTCAACTAAATTTTTTACAAGCTAATAATTTACTATCTCTAATGTTATACTAAATCGATGTTCCTGGTTTTGAAGTGACCTCTATGGATTGTACATTTAACTTATGAAATATTTATTAGGTTGTATTGTTAGACATTTAGATGAAACCCAAGAAATCTGGAAGCAACCATTTTGGATTCTGATGGCTGACACAGATGGGACAACTATTTATTTTAGATTCAGGAAGAGACATGAATTCCTAAAACTAGTCTTCTGCAGCAGAGGTAGTAGCAAAAAACAACAGAGTAAGCCTTTATGTCTTTACTGAAGTTATTGTTATGGAAAGAAAAAACAAAAACTTCACAAATAAAATATTTGATTCTCGTTAAGCATAAATCTTTTCAATTGGTTATCTGTGCTCTGCCAAGATGTATAAGTTGTTTTTTAATCCAAGTTTGTTCAGAGCTTAGGTCATTTTGTTCTGGGGTAGAGTAATTCTTATGAACTAAAGATTTTGGTATTGATCCAAGCTGCCCCAAAATTAGCCCAATTTGTCTTTGTTATTGCAAAGCTACCAAGGTTATCTCCCACTTTCACTATTTTTGAATTGCTGATTAAAGAAAACATGAAAATGAATTTGCACTCAGACAAAAAGTTATAGTATGGAAACTCTTAAGGCCATTTTAGGGTCATAAACTGGGTCAAAGTCTAGAGTGAAAGAGTTAAAAAGAAAAGTTGATGGTAATTACTGCTAGCCACTTGTCTTTTAATTTGCTTAATCTCTAAAACCTCCTAATTAAATATAAAATGATTTGTTTTGTAAAACTTTATATTTTATCCTTTATTTTATCTCCCTAAGTCCACACCCATTCAGTATATTTGACAAATCTCGTAACCACCATAACAAAATTAATAATTAATTTAAATTACCCATTTTTTCTCTCTACAATGACTGCAAATTGCAACTGTACACAACAGTTGTTTATCCTAAACAGCTTAAAGCTTGTAACAGTATACATCTGTTTACACTTTTTATTGTCTTATTGACCTTTGAACTGTGTCTAATTAATAATCCTACCCTACAAGATATAAATCACTCAGCAAACATGTAGCTCACTTTACCATATCGAATTACATCATACACGAGCTACTTGCAGACATACCTCATGAAGAATTTTTATTGTTATTTTTATCATTTTTCATTATCTTGCTTAATAAATTTCTTATTTTTACATTTTAGTTACTTTGTCTGAATAATACTTATATTACAATGAGTAATTTACAGTAAATTCTGTACTCCTCTGAGGGATGATAAATAAATTAGAAAAGACCTAAAGAGCAAATGCCACAATTCACATACTAGGAAATATTGAGGATTTATTTTTAATAATACTTTTTAAAATTAAGAACTTACATAATATTAAAATTTGATTTATTAACTATGTTTTGATGCCAAGTTTATTCACAAACAATAATAATAAAGTAATCTAATTGTATTTTGAATGTAGCTCTCTCAAACGTCATGACATGTGCAATTTGACCTTTCCAATGACAAGAGGGTTTATATTGAACTGATTCCTTTGTAGTAAAAACCCATGGTGGACTATATATGTGGACAACTTTGAAATCATTTAAGAGCCTGAAAGGAAACAACATAAGAACAAAAACTACCTAAACAGATCTTCTGAAATTTACTTAAAAAACTATCACAACAAGCCACTTCATTATTTGTTGATTTATATACATTACCTAAACTACTGTATATGTGTTTAAAGAACATTCTAGTGTTTCTTATTTGTTGCTGATTATTACTTCAAACAACAGCGAAGTATGTAACAGGTCTCTTCTAAATCCATTGTCTGATCCAAATATGTTGATCAATGAGTGCCAACAAAGCATCTATAGGTTTCCATGGTCAGATATAGAATAAGTCCACAAATAAAGAAATAGAAGCTTCTAAAATAGCTACTATCTCACATGGAGAGTGGTTAAATGTAGAACTGTGAATAGATATGTTGCAACTACTGCACTACGTCAAGGATATTCAGAAATTTAGGTCATGTGATAATGAAAAAGCAGATTAAAGGTAAATTGAGATAAAGAGGTAATTCTCACTATCTTCAAATTACCAGTACATAAAAAAATCTTCGAACACTGATAAAATCACATATAAACTCTTTACTAACAGTATATAGCGGGTTAATCCTTCATCTCAGTTACTAGAACACTTACTTCACACTTGAAAGTTCTCAGGTTTAACCCAACTCACAGGTGATGGTATAGAATAAGATAAGAAAAGTGTAACTAGACTCAGGTTCATGCAATCAAAGACTAAAATAACCAAGAGAATGAAATCTAATTTTATTGATATACATTCCTGGGACAGAAAATAAAATCATGCATTAAAAAAAAAGGAATTATCAATGAATAATGAAAAACGCAGACACACTTCTAAATTCAAATGGGTACAATTCACAATACGTATGTTTGGAAAAACACAAAACATTTAAATTCTTAATGTATTTACTTACTACTACTTATCGTGAAAGTTTCATGTTCATTTTTCTCCAACTTGATATCCAACAGACCATCAGGATTCTCATCAGAAAATGGTTCAACCTTCATCTTTAATACTTCCACAATTATACAGAAGTTTCACCTTTATATTCTTATCAAAACTTGTAACTAGATTACAGAAAAATAAATTAAGAAGTACATGTTGCATTCTTCAAAAAAGTAAACAAATTTACAATAAACCAAATCTCAAAATTTACTTTATCTTGCCAACTTTGTCAAATAATAAGCTTCATCTTTATTTACATGTTTATACCAAAATGGTGAAATAATCTAATGTAACATGATTTTGAAACAATATGTGTAGTAAGAGACCAAAAAACCTTTATCAATAGCTTCATGTAGTTTAAATTTGTGTGTAATGACTGGAGAGTAGGTTTTTGTTCTATTGAAGAAATGTACTTCATATATATATATAAAAGTACACTAAAACATGACAACACTGGAACTACTGTGACACCTTTAACACGTTTGCTGCTATGTGCCCCGCCAGTAGGTCACAACCAAATTTTAGTTACTGATCGTGTGACACACCAATGGGTTCACATATTACAAGTGGTTTCAATGAACTAATCAAACATAGTGCAGCTACCCATATAAAAACAAAGATACCTGGGTTAAGTAAAAACAGAACAGTGAGGCTGGCAATGGGGTAGGAATTATTAATACTAGTTCTGGCAGCTAATGGTTTAAACCATTTAGGACTTAAATTATTGATAGTTTCAATCTTTCCATAATTCCTGATAGATTTTTTTTATCAAGAAAAGATTCACCAAGTACAAAAATCACATCATAAACTCAATAACAAATTAATTAAAAATATGTTTAAAAGAAAACTTACACAGTTTTTGTAAACTTGATTACTTACCATATATTAGGAAAGCTTGGTAAATTTAACAAAAAAAAAACATTATATGAAATGTCAAAAATCCACTCACTTTGTCTCTGACAACACTGAACAGTCAGACAAGGTAAGTAAACAATAATATGAACATTGTTAAATGTTTTAATTATCAATATAAACATTATATGCATCACATCTGTTTTATATTGAATATGTATTTGACCTATTGGTTTCAAATCAATACGAGTTGATTATCACATGCTCATAAACACATTACTTTATAAGATTGTGGTTGTCAATTAATTAAAACTATACCTCACTCATTTCTGTAAATTTCAATAGTTCTAAAAGTAATATATAAAATAAAGTAAAAAAAACAAAAAACTACATATAATAGAATTTAAAAAAGTAATAGATATACAAAAGCAATTTATCAACTGCATATGTAAAAACGAATTCAATGTTTAACCACTTCCAAAAACAAATTAAGCACAAAGTTAATATTTTTATGCTGAACAGATAGGTCCATTATTAGACCTATATATACTGTATCTTGCTAGCATAATATTGTTGCAATTATTAATTAAAGAGAAAAACCTTCTAATTCTTTAGGATAAAATTAAGAGTACTCAGTTAGAACCTGCTCTTGAAAATTTTTGGAGGAAATAAAAAACGCTTTATTACCAGATGAAATACAGAACATAAGATGTAACTAAATGGTCAAAACTAACCAGAATCACATGAAGTGAAGTTCAGTAACCATACATTTAGAACACTGGTGTTCCCTCTAACACTAGGTGTGTCAACATTCCAAGTGTGAATAATTGAGATACATTTACATTATTACAAGTAGCAAAAAAAAAAAGAAAGATTTTACTAGTTCTAAATGAAATAATAAACTGTTTGGAAATTTTTCCATATAAGCAAAGACTACATTCCTTATCTGTTTAACAATTTTAGTAAGCAAATTTCTGTTCCTAGCTGTGTATTCTACCCACGTATCAAAATACAGTTGTATATTGTTTAATACTTCTTACAACATACAGGTAATGTAGCACACAAGTTTTAAACTTTCCAAATTTTATATTCAAAAGTAATAACATTTTATATTTGATGGTATGGATACATGCCAATGCATCAATATTACAAATTATTTGTTAAAAAGTCTTCTACAAAATTAAAATATTGATTATTTGAGGTTAAATGTATTTTGAGAATTGCATGTACGTTTCTTTAATATTTCTTACTGAAATAGTACATGGTATTCAGACTGCTTGCAGCCCATAATAGTATAACTATAAGAATATTTACTACTCGTTAGTTAAGCTTAAGGTTAACCCAGAATTTTCTATTTCATCACAATATTCGACCTCAACATTTCCTTCTAAGTTCTGAGCTATAGTAAGTTACAGTCAACAACAATCCATGTTATGCATATCACTTCTGACAAAAGAGAAGGAATCTAAACCCTACTTCTGTTAAGTTTATCAACATGTCTCTCTTTACACACATAGCTAAATTACAGCTACATATACCTCGTTTGTCACATTTCACCAAAGACTAATAAAAATAACTTCTATTTCTAATCGTAGGACGTCCAATATAGGAAAAAAAACTATACTAGTAATAATACTACAAGTACAAGATACAACTTTTGTTTCCAATCGCTCAGTATAAAATGACCCAATTTTCACAGTACCACAATTCTAGTTTTATTTTGTAAATCATTCTCTGTTTGTTAATAAATTTAAATACGAAACGGCTAATGGCACCTCGCAACAATAGTACCACGCTCGCCCCAGTGCTTTGCAAATCGTCATCCCATAATCATTTTTACAAAGCTAATGACCTACATTTATTATAAATGCATATTTGTTTGTTTTTTGAATTTCGCGCAAAGGCTATCTACGCCGTCCCTAATTTAGTAGTGAAAGACTAGAGGGAAGACCATCACCATCCACCGCCAACTCTCGGGTTACTCCTTTACTAACGAGGTTTATCAACGTCACATTATAACGCCCTCACGACTGAAAGGTGGGACGGGGATTCAACCCGCGACCCTCAGATTGCGAGTCAAGCGCCCCCAAACCACCTGGACTATAAATGCATGTTAACAATTAGTACATCTACAACAACAAAAAATTAGATTCAAGCTTCTTTCTTCAAAGTAAATATACACAAGTGATACAACAACTACATGATATCAGTTAATACATGATTAAAGTGATACCACAACTGCATACTATCAATTACTACATCTACAATAATAATAATAAAAGATTTGAGCTTAGTTTTTGGAAGTAAATATACACAAGTAATGGGATGCCACTCTTTACATATTGTTATGTATCTGCTTGTTTGATAATTTTCGGTAAAAATTCTTTCTGAGTGACTTCAGCGATACAAGTCCCTTCTTGATTAAAACTCGTTACAAACTTTGTAATACACTTAATTTCCACAGTCACTTTACTTAAACACACGCTATAATTCACAACGATTCACGCACTTTACTTACGGTTACTACCGCTCACTTGACTCAATTATCTGTGTCTATATCTCTCTATCTGCAGTTATCTCCGCTTTATTTGCCGGGCTTATATACTAAAATAGAGGGCGCCTGGAAAAGAGTAGAGTTGCCAGGAAAAGTCAAGATCCTTCGAGAATCTCATGACGTGTTACCAGAGTCACGTGACTTCCGCTGTCGTAACAATATACTACATAAAAACATTTCATCTCCAGAATCTGGTAGGCGGCAAGTGCAATAAACATTAAAGACCGATTTTCATCATTTTCCCGGTTTGTATAAGGTGCGTCCTGTATAAAATATACTTATATTCTTTGCTACAATACACTGAAACAAATGCTTACGTGAACTATCACTGGAACAGGTACAGTGGCATTTTCTTTATAATGACAAGCATTTCTTTACTTCTTGATTTCGTTATTCTTAGAAGGCCAAAGAATCCCACTGTGTTTAGATCGACACTTTTGGTTTCGCATGAGGAACTGTAGTTAGTTTTACTGTTAAATATGAAAGTCAAACGTGAAGCTTGTAATAAAACACAGTTTTGAATAAATGCAACAAAAAGATGCACACATATAGCCAGCGCTTTTTTTTCTAAAAAATTTTTTGCTGGTACTCTTATGAGAAAATGAAGAAAAAAACAACAGAGAGTTTTGAAATAATTTATTTTAAATTACCTGGTATCAAGGTAATTGCTTTTCTTAGGAGTCGAGGAAAACGAGAAAAAATGTTTTATTTTACGGCTCATAAAGGTTAACTACACAATAATGGGTAAAACACGAAACCCAACTAAACTTCAAACATACAACACACAACTCATTGTCACGTCACTGAACTCGAACTGACTACTGATCTGCGCCTTCTCACTGCTCAATTGGTGGTGGGGGAGGGCGCGAGAGAGGAATGAGAATATGTGTCTGAACTTGTGAGACAGCACCAGCAAATATGCAACTTTTAACAAATTTTCCTGTAGGCTATATGCATACGGTCTGAAAAAAAGCCTGCACATAGATATATGTTGTTATCTTATGACATTATATACATGCATAATAAATTACCATATTTTGTGCTCCAGTGTTATCAACTACAACAGTAACAGGTGTACTAAAATCAAGATGATTGATAGGGTCATCATTACAATCATTCAGGTGATCATCAACAGGATCAATGGAGTGATCATCATCAACAACAGCAGGGTCATAAATAACAAGATCAGCAGTGAAAAGATAATCAACAACAGAATAAACAGCAATAGAAGAATTATCATGTGCTTGACATTCCTCTGTGGTTTTATCACTGGTCAAAGCTGTTGTGGGGATAATCGTGAATTCGGAATTATTATCCCAGAAATACAAAACGTTTTTAAGTGTTTGATATTTTTTTGCAGAATTCAGCCATTCTACTTTGGGAGGCATAAATAGCTAACTTATCTGTGAGTGAATAAATCTTTCGATATTTCTGATTTGGAGATAGTGTGCTATTCAGTTTAGTAGTTGATGAAATTGAAGTAAAGCACACTTCATTTGTGCTATGAGACATATCACAGTTTTAATAACTGAGCTCAGCAGGAATACCAATATGCAGTTGATAAGACTTCAGCCATCTATTTGCCACAAGTGATAACTCAAAGAGTGAACTACCACAGTAATTGTGATATTTGAAAATATGCCTGCAAGGCATCAAAAGAGTTTGCTGGAAGGTGCAAAAACACCTTCCATCCTCTGGTGACACAGAATGCAAGCGATCCTTGTGTGAAATGATATTTTTGCTGTCTGGCAATATTTAAACACTGTATTCAACCGTTAATGCCATCTTCATCTGTTTAACCTTAAGATCAGCAGTATATTAAATACAAACTGACTGTATCTCTGTCATGATATAAAAAACTGTTTAATGTAGATATTATTGATTTAACCTTAAGTTCAGCAGTATATTAAGTACAAAGTGACTGTATCTTTGTCATGATATTGTTGCGTCAGCGAGGTCACGTGACTAGTGTCACGCCACCTGCTTTCTAGAAATATCCTGTTCCTTCGTGAATGCCCAAGCATTTAATAGATTGGGGGTAGCTGGTATATATAGGATGGTCACAACGTGACTGAACAATGTGTGTAGGTAGTGAGTAATTGAACTGCAGTCAGAAAGTATTGTTGAAGTTAACGTTCGTTGTTATAGCGTTTGTTATAGAGCGACTGTTGAAAATAAGTGTATCGGTAAAGCTATATTCAGAAAGAATAAACCAGTTTTATTAAGAAAGGACTTGTGTCGCTAAAGTTTCGTGGGAACGAAGTTACGGGAAATTAATTAACGACTGGAGGCGTAACAATATAAAAGACTGTTTAATGTAGATATTATTGATTAATTTATCTTATGAGTGAATATTTTATGACTGTATAGTTTTGTTCATAAGAAGAGCGTTAGAATTTGTTTGTTTGTTTGTTTTGGAATTTCGCGCAAAGCTACACGAGGGTTATCTGCGCTAGCC